GCGTGATGTGGGGACTGGAAGAGGTGAAGGCACACAGCCAGGCTGGTGCTGAAGATGGGACTGACGATGGGGAGGAGATGGCAGCGCCAGCAGGCAGGCAAGCTGGGACCTCCCATCCCCCATCGATTTCGGCAGGCAGGCAGGCAGGCAGGCATTGCTACAGCAGCGGCGCAGCAGCCAGCGGCAGGGCCGCCGCAGGGACGCACGTCGACCAGGGGGCTGCTGAAGCGCCGCTCGGTGCGCGCCTGGCGCAGCACTCCGTACGCCTCGGGGCTCAGCAGCTGGCGCCACTCGGCGTCGCTGTGCTGCACCTGCAAGCGCGGCGGTAGGCGTGTGTGCTGCTCTAAATGCGGTTGGGGCATGGGTTTGATCGGGCGTGGTGCAGCGGGCCGGCGTATGCAGCCACCCACCAGACATGTGTGCTCACCTCGCCCTGCCGCGACGCGGCTTCGTCTGCCGCCGCCGGCGCCGCCTTCACCGCTGCGATACCCGCCACCAGGGCCGCCAGCGCTGCGCGGCGGCTGGTGCGCTCGCCGCCTGCGCTGGCGGCGGCTGGTGCTGGCGCAGGAGGCCTGGCAGCGACGGCGGCGGCACCGACGGCGGGCTGCTGGCGGCCTGTGCCCGCCTTGTGGGGGCCGCTAGAGAAGGCCACCACCCTCGTCCTGCGAATGGGGCCGGAGTGCAGCGCTGCAGGCGGGGTTGCAAGGGCCGCCGCCATTTTGTGGTTGGGCGGAGCTGCTGAGCCTCTCTGCACTGTGCAACAATGTGGGTTGTGGGCAGGCGTTATGGTTTGTGGCGCTCACTGGCGGAAACGGCTGTTTTCATTGCCAGAGTCATGTGTACTACAGGGTCGAGCAGTACAGTTGAACCAACAATCACTGGGACAGCCTGCTGGCATCCACTCGTGAGTCAGAGCAGCATTGCCTCATTGCCAGGCAGTCTACGGCGCTGATCCTTGCATTGCAGCCTACCCTGTTGCTTCAGGTGCACTGGTGGCCCTGTGATGGCATCTGGTTGTTGAATAAATTCGTTGCGTGGCAAGCTTGCCGGCGCGGGCCTGAGTGCACCACCCCGACACCGAGACGCTGGTCAGCCCCTCTCGGTCCTCACACGGTCCCATCACCCCTGCCGCAGGCCTCCATGATGCCAACCCAGCTGCTGCTGGCGGCCGCGGCCCTGGCGCTGCTGGCGGCGCCGCTGCCCGCCGCCGCAAGCTGCCGCAAGGTGCGCAAGCACGTGCCTCGCGAGGAGATGTTCTTCAACCACCAGCCCGCGCCCCAGAAGAGCCTGGAGGAGCTGCCCAAGGAGTGGAGCTGGAACAAAGTGGAGGGGCGGTCCATGCTGGTGGGTCAACGCCCGCCCGAGCACAGCAGCGTTGACCGTGCACCGCCGGCGCACCGTGACGCCCCTCGCCGCCCAGCCGGCTGCTTCTGCCCGTGCATCCGACCCCCTTTCCGTCCTGCTGCAGGCCCCCTCCTGGAACCAGCACATCCCGCAATACTGCGGCTCCTGCTGGCTGCACGCCACCACCTCCATGATCCAGGTGCGGCAGGTGGCGGCGGTGGTGGGTGCTGCCATGGCTGGGCCGCCGGGGCGGGCGGCGGGTGCCGGTGCCACGGCCGCTCCCGCTGCGCTCTCTCCTCGCGCCCTGCCTGCCTGCCTGCCACGCTTCATCTTCCTTGCCTGCCTGCCTGCCTGCCTGCCTCCAACCCTGCCCGTTCGCCCGCCTGCCTCCCATCCCTCTGCCCCCACCGCCGCCACGCCCCACAGGACCGGCTGAAGATCGTGAAGGGCGGCATCGGCCCAGACACCATGCTGGCCCGCCAGGTGGTGCTCAACTGCGGCGCATTCCACGGGTGGGTGGGGGCTGGCGCTGGCGCTGCTGCTGCTGCTGCTGCTGCTTCTCCTGCTGCTCTGTTGGCGCCACTGCTGCTGCTGCTGCTGTGTGTGTGTGTGCGCCCGCATGCATGGGTGGTGGCGACACCGTGTGGGCCCGACAAGCCCACGGCCATGCCCTCAGTCCCACTGTGCTGCGCTGCGCTGCACGCTGCACGCTGGACGCGACGCTGCAGGTACGGCGAGGGCTGCAACGGCGGCGACGTCATCGACGTCGTTCGCTACATGAAGAGCTACGGCCTTCCCGACGAGAGCTGCCAGGTGGGTGCGAGGGGCGCGGCTGCTGCGCGGCCCCCGCCAGCTCAGCATCGGGCCGCCAGCTCAGCTTGGCGGGAGGCGGGCAGCCACCCTCCGGGCGCAGCACCGCACGCTGCCTTGCCGCCTGCCCACCTCCTCCTGGGCGTGCGGTCCCCCCAGCCCCGCCTCGGCTGCCACCCTCCTCCTCAGCCTGCCTGACCAGGTTCCCGCTTGCCCTGCCCTGCACCCCTGACAGCGCACACACA